AAAGAACTATACTAAAAGTGCAAATGATTAACAAGTACCATAAAATTTAGGAACTTTATATATATATATACATACATATAGGTGTAATAATAAATTTAAATAGCTACTTTTATAGTCGGTTTGGTTCGATTTTTTTCAATTATTTTTGATTAAAACCAATACCAAACCAAATTTGATCGGTTTTTAAAATTCAAAACCAAAACCAAACCAAACCTAAAAAGCATCAGTTTTTTTGATCTGTTTGGTTCGGTTTTTCGGGTTTTTATGAACGCCCCTAGTTGAAATAAACAAAAAGTATAACGAAAGACAAATATAAACAATATACAATTAACTAACTTTATTATATGATTCCCCTCATATTATTTGGTAGAAATCAGTCTCTTATTACACGATTAATAACTAACTTTTCTAAGGGCTTATTACCGATCACTTTTACTTGTCCAATATGAACTTTGCATACCCCTTAAAATATAATATATAAAATGTATAATTTACCATGATATTCATATTAATTGATGCATATTTTTAAATTTTAATGGATTTGAGAATTTGAAAATGAGTAATTAATACCGTGGATGAAAAAAAAATTGTCTTCACTTGATATGCTACAAGTGACAAGTAAACGTGAAATTATATTTTTAAAATACTGGACAAATAAAAGTGAACGAAGGAGTACTTAACTAACTCGATTATTGATGGTCTAGTTATTTTCAGTATAAAAGGGGAAAATGTAAGCGAAATTTTATTTATACTATTAAATTCAACCTTTATGAGAGCCAATTAAAACTAACCTGCACATTCTTTTTAATGCTTTGTCACAATTCATTAATTTTATTGAGGTGAAAGAAAATAGGGATGTAATCCAATGCTATGTACATCTTTTACCCGATGAATATGCGTTATCCACTTTTTCATGGAAAAAGGGGACAATTAATTCTTTTGCAATTCTAGAAACTTCACATATGCGTCCGAATTATTTGTTTGATCACTCAATTTTCAATGGCAAAAAATTGAATGATAAAACTAATATAATTCGGTAAACTGACAATAGCTTGCAGGAAAAAATACTTGTTAAACGTAACTACGTACTTCTATTTATGGGTGTCGGTGGATATTTGAAAATCGACTAAACCGATCGAACCGTATTACACCGAATTCTAGATTTCTTTTTAAGAAATCGCAGGTTTTTATATAAATCTATAACCGCAACGATAATTAGGGTAGGTTTTTATTTTATAAAAATAAACCGAAAAAATACCGAACCGTACCGAATATATTTTACATGTGGAATATATATTTATATAGTAAGTTTAAAAATAATAATGCATTAAATTTTCTTTGGGCCTTGGAATTATAAAAACTATTACAAGCCAACAAGTAATTAAACTACAAATATTAATTTCTAAAACCTATTATGCTACTTTTACTTATTATTTCACCTCAACAATAATATCCTTGATTCCCAAAGTCCCAGTCCCAGAGTTTGCAAGTCAATTCAGACCAATTTCTTGCTGCAATGTCATCTATAAATGCATTTCTAAGATGCTGTGTAAGAGGCTTAAGAGAGCTGTATCAATACTAGTAGCTGAGAACCAAGCAGCTTTTGTAGAAGGTAGATCACTGATTCATAATATCCTTATATGCCATGATTTACTAAGACACTATAATAGGAAGACAACTCCTAGGTGCCTTATGAAAATTGATTTGAGGAAGGCATATGATATGATCAACTGGGATTCCATAGAGGAAGCTCTGAAAGGATTTGGATTTCCGGACTCATTCACTAAACTGGCGATGACTTGTGTGACCACAACAAAATTCTCTATAAGAATTAATGGTGAATCCATGGCTACTTTGAAGGCAGGAGGGGGCTTAGGCAAGGGGATCCTATCTCACCCCTACTATTTGTTCTAGTTATGGAGTACCTGTCAAGGGTCCTTGGAAAGATGAGTGAACTCCCTGACTTCAGGTACCACCCCATGTGTAAGGAGACAAAGTTAACTCACTTAGTATTTGCAAATGATTTGATGATTTACTGCAAAGGAAATCTGAAATCCATAGCTAGAGTAATGGAGGCATTACAGCACTTCAGTGATGCCACAGGGTTGGAAGCAAACATACACAAATCTAGCATGTTTGTAGCAGGGGTGGATGAGGAGATAAGGCAGAATATGTTGAAGATTACTGGATTCACACTAGGGACCTTTCCTATAAGGTACCTAGGCCTTCCTCTTACATCAAAGAAGTGGAATAAGATGGATTGCAAGCAACTAGTAGACAAGATCACAAGCAAAATCACAGCTTACCCAAGGCAACTATCATATGCTGGGAGATTGCAAATAATAATGGTTGTTCTATTTTCTATATACAACTTCTAGAGTGCTGTGTTTATTCTGCCTCAAAGTGTGGTAAAGCTTGTGGACAAGAGATGCAGAGACTTCTTGTGGGGAGCCACTGAAGACAAAAAGAAAGTTCAACCTAATAGCTTGGGATAAGGTCTGTATTCCTAAACAGAATGGAGGGCTAAACATCAAAAGCTGCTGTAAATGGAACATTGTTGCAGTAGGTAAACTATTATGGCAATTAGCTAGGAAAAAAGACACTCTATGAGTCAAATGGGTTAACAATATATACATAAAGGATAGGGCAAATATATGGGATCATCAACCACCAGCAGACTGTAGCTGGTATTGGAAGAAATTGAACACTCTCAAGCTTCAAATGGCAGGATGGTATCAAGGTGACAAATACATGCTGCCAAAATCAGGAGAATATTCTATGTCTAAGAGCTATCAGCATATGTTGGGGGCTCTACCTAAGACAAGGGAAGTAAGGCTAATATGGAGTAAAATAATGCTTCATAAACAGAGATTTATGGTATGGTTGGCATGTCAAAAACAAAATGCTAACCAAAGAAAGGATGCAGAGATTGCAGCTAAAGGTAGGAGATCACAAGTGTTGCTTACGTGAGAAAGATCAGGTGGAATCTCAGATTCACCTTTTTGGACAATGTAAATGGATAACAGGCCTCAGAGAAAAGTTGAGTAACTGGATGGGTATCAAAATCCAAGATAATGAAGCAAATAAGGTGATCAAATGGATCCAAAGAAGAAGATGAAGCCAAGTTCAGAAAGAGATAGTAGCTGCTGCATGGGGAGCGATACTGTATTATACATGGCAAGCAAGAAATTGGAAAATATTCAGGAAAGTAAATGTGAGCATAGACCTTGTAAATGATAAAATTAGGAAAGAGATACTAGATAGAGTGAAAATAGTGTATAAGGGAAGAAGAGATAGAAATACAAAGAATTGCTTCAGAGAATATGTAAATAGATTCTGATATATTTTGAGATCTGGTGTCTGCTTTTGTTTCAGACACTAGAGGCTCATAGGTTGTAAAAAACTGTTCTTCTGGTTGGAATGGTAATATTCACAGTTGTTACCAAAAAAAAAAAAACTTTTACTTAAACTAAGTTATTTCAAGTATCTTTATTAGCAAGACACAAAGTATTCTAACGATTATGAGTAGCAAACTACAATGCATTGAATATGTTTCCTTTCATATAATTTTGATTTATCTTTTTGAATATTTAATCTTCTATAGACTTTATTCTTGAGTCCCAGCTTGGTATATCTTTCAACTCGTGTGATTTATATTTTCTTTGCCTTTGTTTGATTTCCTCTACGTTGTTGTAGAATAGTTGATGGATCTATACTCTAGCCATTTTTTTTAATTATCACCCTTTAAACAGTAAAAATGTCTAGAGTGTTTTGCTAAGTCCTATAAAAGAACGTATGTTATTGCATTCTACTTCTACTGGTGAATTTTGTATGATATTAAAAATACCGAAAATTAACCGAACCGTACCGATACCGAAAAGAAACCGACTTGATTGGGACGGTTTCGAAAAGTCTAATTTTGGTTATACATAATAGAATAATCGAAAAATTTGTATGGTACAAATTTTATAAAATAACCGGCAAAACCGAACCATTGACACCCCTACTTCCATTCTTATTTTCGGTGAATGTCGTTCTAACCAAATTTTTTTCCCTATTAGAAGATAACAAAAAATATAATTTATTTAAAACAATGAGGATGAGAGTAAAATAGAAATTAGGGTTTCGAGAGCGCTATAGGGCTACAAAATGTACATTAATGAATATTTTAAATATTAAAAGACACTTAAATAATAAATATATAAATATATATTGATAAATTCAGAAAAGATGGATCAATTACATGTTCTTTAAATGAAAAATATATGTTTTTTAAAGATAAATTACCCATTCCTAAATAACAGTTTACGTAACTCCAGTATACTTGAACTCCAGCATATTATACTGAACTCCAGCATATTATACTCCAGCATACCCATTCCAGGATATATGTTCCAAATGCCCTTTTTGTCGCCAAATGCCCTTTTTGTCGCCAAATGCCAAATGCCCTTTAGCGGCAATTATTTAGCGGCAATAAGTCAATTGCCGCTAATATATTCTATAAGCTAAAATATATGCGGCAAATGACCATTGGCCACTAAAAAATAACCTTTTACCGGCAATTAAAATAAATTGCCATTAAAAACAATTAATCGACTAACCGCGCATATAGGTTTTTTTTTTTTAAAAAAACTTTCCCTCCCTGCCAAATAAATCGTTCCCTCCAAATTATTTTGCACAAAAAATAATCGATCGATTCCCTCCAGTTTGCACAAAAAATAATTGATCGATTCCCTCCAATTTGCACAAAAAATAATCGATCGATTCCCTCCAATCAGAAAAAATAGGAAAACCTATTCTGAACGGGATACGATTTTCCTTCATCGAATAGGATAGGAATCTCACATATCGATTTTCCTTCATCGAACATGATACAATTTACAGAGTCTACATATAGGTCTGGCGAGTTTTTATCGTTTCATTGAACGGGATAACTGTTGTTCTTCCCCAGCCAGAATCGCAGAATGACAGAATCGTAGAATCGCCGGCCAGATTAACAGAATCGAAGGTCTCCGGCCAGCTTCTTCCCCAGATAACTACTCTTCTTCCCCAAGTATTTTCGTTTTTTCACCCAGCAGACGCAATTAACAGTGGAGTTAGGATTGTGCTGCTCGATTATGCTCTATCGTCGTTGTTAGTATTCTCTGTTTTATCCGTTTTCACTTCTCTTTTCCTGTAGGTTTCAAGATCGTTGCAGAATTTAGATTTCAATTTCTTGTGTTTATTAACAAAACAATCTGCTACCAGGTACAAATTCGTGCCTTCAACTGTTGCGATTTGAGATTTGCGAAAGTACAGTTTTTTCTACATATGCGAGTCGCGATTTGAGTTGATTTTGGGTTGATGCTGCTCGAATATGCTCAATCGTCGCTATCAAAGTATAGCTTTTTTTGTGTTTGCTAAGTTGTTTGTGATATCTCCCTGCTTGCTGTTAGATTGATAGTCGATTGACTGAATTGATTCTTCCCCTGTTACTCTATTATTTTTTGTTTGTTTGCTGCGTTTTTGTTGTTTTCTCTGATTGATAGTTGTTTGTTATATCTGCTGCCTTTTTGTGTTTACAATTTCTGTTTTCTTGTCTTTGAATTGGTTCCTCTGTATTTTTTCTAAGACTACTGCTAGGCGGAACAAAGCTAATAAGATTCTAGGTTGTGGCCTCTCTATTTTCTGCCCTTTTAAATCTTTCTTAAACCCTGCCCTTCCTACTCATCTGAATTATTTTGGTCAGCGGACATGATTCTTTGTAAGAATCTGTTTATTCTAAAGCAAAACAAACAAAAATAGTGTAGTGTCTTACAAGATGTAAAGTCATATGCTAAGGTAATTACATAGCCCCTATTACCAGAACCGAGCAAGGAATACTCAATGCTGATAGTATATTCTGAACTAATTAACCAATGATAAAGAAATTTAAGAATGTAGTAAGGTTCTTAAATAAAAACTAGCACTAAGCATGCCATGATAGCATCTGTATAACTCATTGCCCAGTAACTCTGTCTTCCGTGCATAATGTAGATCATGATCTGTCCCATAGTGTGTCCACCCTGCTGGATATATTAAAGGAAAAGGCATAGAAGCAGAGCAGGTATCATGTAGGCACTCGCACAAGCAGTTATTAGCATAGCATTTGTTGTAGGTGTAGTACTTGGCCTCCTCCAGTTTTGTATACATTTTCTGCTTGTAATCTTGATGTATCAGCAGATACATGAAGGCATGTCCCTAATTGCAGATGTAGCTACATGACCTGGAAATCGTTTCCAAAACCAGCCTATTGCCCGATGAAGTAATAGAAATTTGGCTGAAATTTTGCCAATTCCTATTCTTGTAGTCATCTCTCCTAAGTAGTATTTGAACTCCATAATGTGCTTGATCACTATGTTTATGACTAGCCTCTTTAGGTGATTTGATCATTGGACACTAGTATTGTGAATCTGCATTTGGCTATTGTCCAGATTTGATCCTTGGACACTAGTCTTTTGACCATTTTCCTGAATGTAAATCGGTGGGTTGCCATAAGCCTCTTTTAAGTACTACAGAAATTCATAAAGACCAGAAGGTATCACTGGATACTGATATGCTGCCAATGCCTCAAGTGAGATATCTGCTTCTATGTCAGCACCAAAGTCCCTGGTATTCTTTTCAATGCTGGAAGGCCTGTCCTTAACAGATGCTGTTGTATAGTGGTTTAGGCCTATGAAATTAACTGAGCCCTTAACTAGCTTAGCCTCATATTTGACACTAGTATTGTGAATCTGCATTTGGCTATTGTCCAAAATTAACCATCTCCTGCTGCATATATGACAAAGTACCTGGGAAGAATGCAACAACACCTCTATCTGGACTCGAAAACTTCCTGTATATTGCTTTCAGCTTACTTTCTGCAGCACCCAAGTGATATCTAACCAATTGCTTTG